GGATGATATGCTATTAAATCATATCCCTTAGCGAGCTTGTATTTTCCAGGTTTGAAATTATATCCCATTTGGTGCTGAACCATAAAGCTAAATAGGTTCGGGTCAGTATTTCCTTCCTTGAACTTTCTAATAGCTTCTTTATATCTGTCACTAAAGTCAAGAGTATCTGGGTAACCATAATTTTCCTTAAGCATTTTTAAGAATTCTTGGTTTCCTTGTTCTCTACTTCTTTTATGTCCTTGCTCTGTTTGTGGTTGTTGTGGTGCAGTGTTTTGAACTGTTGGTTGTGGTGCAGTGTTTTGAACTGTTGGTTGTGGTGCAGTGTTTTGAACTGTTGGTTGTGGTGCAGTGTTTTGAACTGTTGGTTGTTGTGTTGGTTGTTGTGTTGGTTGTTGTGTTGGTTGTTGTGTTGGTTTTGGTGCATGCCTGTGTCTGTGTCCATGTGACGATGTAAATGTTTTAGGTAGTCCTGGTGCAGGTGCTTCTCTTGGAGGGTTTGGTGGTATATAAGTTCCACTAGCTAGTATATAAGTTCCACCAGCTGGTATATAAGTTCCACCAGCTGGCACATATGTTCCACCAGCTGGCACATATGTTCCATCTGCAGCATAATGTCCTACCTGACTTTTCGTTTTTAAGAAAGCATTTACTAGGTCTGTTTTGGTCTGTTGTAACTCTTTTTCTTGACTTTCCACAACAGTTGCTCTAACGGCGTCATAGGCACTTTGAACTGCCTGTCTCGTTGCTGCATCTGTTATTTTCGTCATATTTTGTGCTACTTCTCTTAACTCGTTGTCGAAACCTTCAGACTTCAGTTTCTTTCCAGATGAGAAGTCGTTCACTAGTTTCACCTTACTATGAAGAGCTTCGAAGGCGTTCTTAAAGTCAGCATTCATTAAAGCTTCATTTGAACTGTCTTCATCCGCTTGTATTTTTGTCCTTATTGACCCTATAAGTTGGGCTGCTTTGGCGTTGGCTTGGGCATCTAACCAGTCATTATTAGCTTTTATATATTCTGCACTTTTCATTGCCTTTTGCATGGCTGCGTCGTATTTTTACTTTCTTGTGCTAAGTTTTCATACTGTACGGTTTGGTTTTGCAACTGTAAAAGTTTTTCTGCCTTTACATTTGCTTCAACTTCTTTTTTATACTCATCGCTATCCATATATGTCTTCAGGGCTTTTTGTTTTATTTCTTCATCTTTCAGTACTTTATATTGAGTAGTATGGTTTTTCAAATTTATAACATCTTGTTCCATTTTTGCTACTTCTGCTGCTTTTTCTGACACTTTTTTCGCATATTCCTCTGTACTTAGTTCTTTCAGTTGTTCTTCTTTCTTTTTTTCTCTACGTTTAACTCATTGAGTTTCTTTGTGTGTCTGTCATATTCTAGTTTCTTTTCGTTTTCACTTATTTGTTTCTGTATGTCTATGTTTGACTTTTTGACATCTGTTATTTGATTTTTGAGTGAACTCAAATTCATTTGACTTTGAGGGTTATAAGCTGTTCCGTCTGCAGCTCCACCATAGCCTGCCATTTTCGCTAAAAGTGCCGCTCTTAAACCTCCACTCTGTGCACCTATAACTCGGTTTAAAAGCATAGGGTTGCTTGACATTTGTTGCAACATAGTGGGGTCATTCATCATTTGTTGTTGCAACTTGTTGTGGTGTCAGTTTTACTATTGGATGTTTCAATGCTCCCTTCCTCTTACGTATATTCTTACGTAGCTTACGTGGCATTTTAAGTGAAGTAAAAAACGGTTTTTGACAGATGTTTATATGACACTTTTTGTTCAGCACAAAAAACTACTCGGTCAAAGTGTTGTCAGTTTTGTAAAATAACCGTCCTATCTCATTCTATAAGGGGGAAAGGCTTCTCAAAGTATACTTCCTTGGAACGCCCGTAACTTTTCCTGTAGCGACGATAGACCCTTACTTGTCCGGACAAAGTTATACTAAACATCTTCAGGGCTAGAGGGCACGAAGTGCCTGGAGGCCCCACTACCTTTTTTTTTTTTTTTTTTTTTTGTTTTGTTTTTAGAATCAGTCTGTTCAACCAAAACTTTAACAAGTTTTTAAAATCGATCTCTTTAAAATTATAAATATCAATATCTGATATAGCAATTCTATAAAAATATATAAATGAATTGAGAAATTAACAATTTGTTTGAACATTTTCGAATTTTATTTTAAAAACCTATCATTATTATATTATAAACGCTTTTGATCGAAATTTTGGATTATTTTTATTGAGGATTGAATTTTCAATTTTTGAATGGAACGTTGAATAAACATCGATATCAAGTAATTCGCATAAAATCTTAAGTAATATTTGAAATGCAGGTTAGCGATGTTATCCGATAATACTCGTAATTTGAATTTAACACAATATTGCGGTACCTCTCAAAATTCAATGTTTATCGAATACCGATAAAATTAAAATAATTATATGTTGTTGATACTATTTTAAATTTACAGAAAATCATTTAAATTATCAATTTGAATTATCGGATTGAAAGGAATGGTTTTTATGGAATAATTGATATTAAGGTCCAAAAAAATTAGAATTGATTATAGTTGGATAAAACTGTATTATATTTATCCGCCAAATTTCTTATCAAATCTCGAGTGTTTCTCTTTAAACATGACCTCAAATATGCATGAATATTTGTTTAATCTAACCTGTGTAGAAGCAGTTAATAGAGGAAAGATTTCCATATAGTAAAATGAAATCAATTTGCCTAAATAAAAGCTTATAAAAGACATTTCTAAAGCAATAATATTTACTACATATTGGTGTGAACTAAAACCATAGTAAAATAAATAATTAACTCTTTTAATTCTTAATATCATTTTATACAATATTGATATTTTAGCAATTTGGAAATCCTAATCGATTTTAAATGAAATATAGATAATACTTCATTAATGCTTCTTTATTAATCACTTAATCAGGCAATTTCCTTTTTTGGAAAATTCCTTTTCGGATCACATAAGAATATTAAGTGCATACAGTATGAGTTATTCTTTAAATGATTGTTCAGCAAGCAATTAACACTGCATTTTCAATCATAAGGATTTTTTATTGCTAGAAAGTAACTTGAGTTTCCAAAATCTTGCTGATTGTTTGTCAGTGATAATAAATCAAGCAATCGGACGCTCAAGTCTGGGCAACATTTAACCCATTCTTGGACTACTTCTACGTATATTTGCGAGAATAGAGTTTAAATTTCTTTATTTGTCAGACACAGAAGATGTATACACTATGTTAAAAGCAGAGGTAAATTGATTCTGTAAATTGTTTCATGCGATCAAAAATTCTAAATTTAGAGACAAATCATGAGAGCATAACTATTTTACTGCTAATCTAGTTGCCTAAGCCTCATATCTATAACCCCGGAGTTTAAATTTTGAACATGATTCTTTTGATTTTGGAAATTTATATATGTTTAGTACATGCATAACGTCAAATATTAGTTAGTATACCTAAGTCGTGTACTGAGGCACTGCGCGCCTCCATACACCACTTAGCTGTTTTGACACTTTACAAAACCGTTAACGTATATTTTACAACACAACACAAACACCAACTTAACCTTAAATATTTACAAAGCCGCCAACCACTTCACTTCACTAATGAAAAAATAAACGTTCTCACTAACGTTCTCACTTACAAAAGTATTGCAACTCTTCCCATTGCTGTGCTTCACACAATAGTTCATATTCTTCAGTATCGCTGCTGTCGCTCCAATCGTCAGAGTCAAAGTCACTGTCAAAATAAATGTTAGTAAGTTTTGACAAAGCTAATGAAACACGCTTACCGTTTGTATCGTATGCTTGTATAAACTTTCCATTCTTCATTCCTTCATAAACGCTCAAACTAACTTTACCCTTTCTCCCTCGTATCTGATAGAATGTATTTTCACGAGGAACGAAGAACAAATTCTTGAACTCATGACCGTTGTAGTTTGTTATCTCAATAGTTTTCGTCATTTATATAAAAATAAACTTAAAAATTAATGATATCACCACTCCCACACGTATGAAAACATAGCACAAAAATAAATTTAGGTGAAGTGGTGAGATCTCACCTCTTTTTTCACCCTGTTGAATTCATTGCTTTATAACTCTCTTCCTTTCTCCAACTCTTCTAACTTCTTCTTAAGTTCAGCAATGTTGTCCTCATGAAGTTTAATCTTTCTCAAAATTCCTTCTTTATCTAATGGTTGCTTTATCTTTCTAAACTGAACTCTACCATCCTTCATAGTATGAATGTAAAAACCTTCTGGAATAGTTCCTGATTTAATGTATTCTACCAAAAACTTTTGTTTCATTGCTTCAGTGACTTTAGTCGTCATTTCAATCAAAGGTGAAGCTAGCACAGCGATAATGGATTTCATGACTTTTTAGTATTTCATGCAATCTTAACAGATAGCCTTACAAGTACTTCCAGTGTCCCTAGCTGTCCCTCCTTTTTATATAACTCCATAACATTTATAATCTCGCGAAACTTAACAGGTAGCATAACAGATTAAAATCAGATGAAGTTTTGAACCAAAATTTCTAAACAACGTTGTCAAGGATTTTGAGGAACTAGGGACAGAGTGTGGCAAAGTCCAAGATTTAATTTATCTTCATCTGTTTCATCAGCTATCTCATCTAATATGCCAATATTTTATTCATAACTCGTGGCAAACTCACTAACTTTCGTTATGTTCATCTGCATGCTTCATCTGATAGAAAGTATGACTTTCATTAACTCTGTGAGATAATGAAAACTACTAGGGACAGAGACCATGACAAAGTTTATGACTTTCATTATTTCCAGAACTTAATGAAAACTACTAGGGACAGAGACCATGGCAAAGTTCATGATTTAATTTATTCTCTCACTAACAACAAACACAAACTCCAACACTAACATCAAGTACTAACTTCAGCACAAATGACAAACGCTAACAACAAACACAAACTCCAACACTAACGACAAAAATAAATGTCCTCACTTCTTAACAAAGTAATATGTGCTTCTTACACCACCATAGCTCAAACGTTTCTTTTCAAACATCGATTGAAACTTATTTTGAGCCATTGGCTTTAGTCTCTTTTTCTTCAAATACGCCAAGAAATCTTCTTCACATCTTTTCACTTCATAGCCTTCTTTAAACTCCTCCTTGTTAAGTTCTATGAAATCCTTTATATCATTCTTTGTTGCAATGGCTTCTTCACGAACGACATCGTGAACTATTTCATCATTGCATTCATGTATGACCTCCTCACTGTTCTCATGAACTATTTCAACACTGTTCTCATGAACGACCTCCTTACTGTCTTTCATAAGCGTTTCAAAGTCTCCTTTACTCATTACTTCAATCTCATGCTGTTCACAGTAGTACTTAAACTCACTGTATATGTCTTTGTTGTATGTTATATTGCTTCCCATGTACTCCATGAATTTTTCAAGCACTTCCTCATAATTCACTGTTTCTTTCTTTCCACGACCTTCTAATATCATACTTGCTTCGTAAATATAACTTCTTGCAGAACCGTCTCGCTTTCTACTTCTCTTCACAAATTCTCTCATCTTGCCGCCAAATACATTTGAACTACATGCAAAGAATTCATTCTCCTTCGCAAATTCTTTATATCTTCTGTAGCACTCTGTACAATTCCATCCGGATACAAACTTTTCATAGAACTCCTCGTAAAACATTTGGTAAGGTGTTTTGTTCATTTCGATGAGTTCTTGTTTAGCCCTGGTGAATGGTATCTTCCTTACATCAAATTCACTTAAATCTTTCTTCATGAAGTACGTCAGTAAGTTTGAATAAAACTCTTCATTAAAGCTTTCAATGAGATTTGAGAAATATTCGTAATTTCCTTTGTATCTGCTGCTTACGTCAATGACAACAAATCTTCTGTCGTCTTTGTCAATCTTTACTGAGTTGAAGTTGTTAGATATCATGATGATATTACAAACATTCTCTATCTTTCTTACTGGCTGACACTTCTGATTTAAGTCCAACTGAGTCTCTGTTACTATTGACTTTAGTGCGTCGTGGTTCATGACCTTAGACGTATCGCATGAGCTTAGTTCATTGCATACGATGAGCTTCATGTTCTCAATAGCAGCATTGAATCTACCAACCACATTCTCTATTGCCGTTATATTATTGTTGGCGTACTTGCTAATGAGCTCGCATAGAACATTACTAAGTACATTCTTACCAGTTCCTTGCTTTCCTATTAACAAAAGTACTGTTCCAGTCTTTCCACAAGGATTTTGAACGATGTAGGCGAACCAGTTCAAAACATACTCATAAAGCTCTTCATCCTCATTACATATGACATCGTGAACATGTTTCAAATATCCTTCAATAACGTTCTCATCTACTTCATTCAGTACCTCATACTCATATCCTCTGAAATAGCTGTAAATGTCATCTCTTTCGTCAAAGAATCTCATGCCTGACTTCATAAGATAGTTCTTGTTCTGACCCGCTTCATAAATCATCAGTGCGTTCACATCCTTCTCCTCAATACGTCCTACATAAATACTCTTCATGAGCTTATTGAATTCCTTGCTATCTACTGACACAAGTGTTGTTGTGTCTCGTATTCCATCATAATCTTTCACTAGATATGTCATACGTGCTCCGTCAATAACAACAACACATCTTCTTAAGTCATTTATAACACTAGCTATGTCAATACCGTCTCACTCATGTACTTATTTCTCCTCAAGTCCTTTAGTGTGAAAGTGTCTCTAAGTTCTATTTCAAGCAATTCATTTACACATCCTTTGCAATACTTCTCTATAAAATATTTCTGTCGTTCTTTACTAAGTTTCTTAACAGCTCTGAAGAACCATGTGTTTTGACTCAAACATCCTTCACAACTTCTCTCATTCATTCCTAGTTCTTTCATGTCATTATCTTCAACCTCTATGGTCTCATTGACTAAGGTCAAAGGGTTCTTAGTCATTGCTGGTCTTATCTGAAACAATGTTTGTGCAACAGGTTTAACTAGTTCAGCAACGTCCTTCCTTAATATGAATAGCTGTTTCCACTCATCTTTGCTAACAGTTCTTTCATAACCACTGACAGTAATGATTTCATTTGCTGACCTTAGACACTTATGTTCTATCATTTGTATTGCTTTTGTGTAAGGCTTTCGTGAGCATAGGTTGTATATGTCATTCCTGCAATGTTCATTCATGCCAATAGTACTAAATCCTTTCTTTGCTGTTGAGTGCATAATATCCATTAGTTCCTGTGTTCGTATTGCTGTCTCATAAAATACAACAAGACCTTTGTCATCTATGACGTACTTACCGAAAACATTGCTTATATTCTTTAACCATGAAATAACATCCTCATTCATGCTGTCAAACATGAAGTAAGGTCTTACATACTCTTCACTTATAAGATACTCCACAAAGTACTTGTTAAGCTCTATGTCCTCGTGAGCGATTTCATTAGGTTTGATATTAGTTCCTTTTGTCATTGCTGTCATGTACTTCACTCTCATAGTTCCTTTCAATAGCGTAAAAGTACTTCATTGTTTCATAACTGCTCTAAATTCTGTTCAAAATTCGTACAACATAACTTTTAACATTAGTGAAAGAGCATGAGCGAAACAACAACATCTAACATTACAGAAGGAGCTAGTGAAAATATTGACGAGCTCAGTGAGGAAGAAGATATTGAGGACGTCAATGAGAACGTTAGTGGGGAACAAACTCAATGGGAAACATTGAGAAATCATGAAGATTATGAGATTTGTACGACATATCCTTTTACTATTCGTCGAAAGAAAAACAAACATATTAAGAGTGAATGCTTAAATAATCATGGTTATATTGTGCTTAGTTTAAACAACAAAATGTACTTAAAGCATAGAATTATTGCAGAACAGTGGATTGAAAAATCCAAACAATTTGAAAGAAATAGACCATATAAATCATGATAGAACGGACAACAGAATCTCAAACCTTCGTTGGTGTTCTAAATCTGAAAACAATAGAAATAAAAGCAAGTATGGCGATATAGTTTATGAGTTCGTTGATGAAATATCTGACGAAGCTGTTGAAATAACAGCTTATGGTAAGCATTCGTTTGAGTTCTACTACTATGTTGAGAATGAGGACGCATTCTATTATTATACAGGTCCTAACTATCGAAAACTTCATATAAACTTTACAAAAACAGGTGCTGCTTATGTTTGTATGATAGATACAGAAAACAAGAGAGTAATCTTATGCATAAACAAATTCAAACGCTTGTACGGCTTCATGTAGGACAAACATTATTTTTCAACACTAACGCCAACACGTAGGACAAACATTCATGACTAACATTACTGTATAACATAAATTTTTGTCATGATCATTCATCGTTTATGCTTTATCAATACTTCATCGTAATGAACGTTTATGCTTTGTCATGATCATTCATCGTTTATGCTTTATCAATACTTCATCGTAATGAACGTAAATGACCCAAAAATAATGTTTAGGTGAAGAGGTGAGATCTCACCTCTTTTCTCACCTCATTTCTACCCTCTTGAATTTTCATACGGAATCTCTTCCCTCGGTTTTCCGAGGGAAGCAATCATATGAGGAAATTCTTCTAAAAGTTCTTTTGTCTGTTGGTTTTCAAACCAATGATATGCTTGCTTTGTAGAACGAAGAGTATTATAAGGCATTTTGTGAAGAATATAGCAATCGCCGGAATTCAGACGGTTGCTTTTTATACAAAATTCACGCAGGAAAATTCTTGAGTTTTGGTTGAAAGAATACGGTCAAGCCAAAAGTGGCTCGACCTCAAAACAAACATTTTATGAGCTTACTAAGGCATTTATGAATGAATTCAAATGTATTTGCATACATCCTGACCTCGTTCATTTTGTTGCTGAATTCAGCAAAAATAATGTTTAGGGTAGATGGTTTTAGGTGCTACCATGTTACCATGTGCTACCAGGTTAATTAACTTCTCTGAAAAAATGAGACAACATGACATTTAGACAACACAGCAGGGGAAGGCATTTATGAATTATTTTTGAAGAACTGAAGGTGCTACCATGTTACCATGTGCTACCAGGTTAATTAACTTCTCTGAAAAAATGAGACAACATGACATTTAGACAACACAGCAGGGGAAGGCAGTTATGAATTATTTTTGAAGAACTGAAGGTGTCACTACGTCACCATGTGCTACCAGGTTAATTAACTTCTCTGAAAAAATGAGACAACATGACATTTAGACAACACAGCAGGGGAAGGTATTTATGAATTATTTTTGAAGAACTGAAGGTGCTACCATGTTACCATGTGCTACCAGGTTAATTAACTTCTCTGAAAAAATGAGACAACATGACATTTAGACAACAACACAGGAAATAAATGTTTACGTAAATGATTTGTCATGATCATTCATCGTTTATGCTTTGTCATGATTTCTTCATCGTAATGAGCGTAAATGATCCAAAAATAATGTTTATGTTAGAATGTTAGATCTCACCTCTTTTCTCACCTCTTTTCTCACCTCATTGAATTTTCATGATTTCTTCATCGTATATGCTTTGTCAAACATGAACGTAAATGTTTTGTCAAACATGAACGTAAATGTTTTGTCGAACCTTCACTTTTTTGACGAAGTGCAAATCTTCACTTCGTGTCAAAACTTCTTCGTAAATGTTTTGTCATGATTTCTTCGTAAATGTTTTGTCATGACTTCTTCATCGTATATGTTTTGTCAAACATGAGCGTAAATGTTTTGTCAAGACTTCTTCATCGTAATGAGCGTATATGTTTTGTCAAACATGAACGTAAATGTTTTGTCAAGACTTCTTCATCGTAATGAGCGTAAATGACCCAAAAATAATGTTTAGGGTAGATGGTTTTTAGGTTATTCAATAATGAATTATTTTTGAATAACTGAAGGGTCACCAGGTCACCAGGTCACCAGGTAATTTAACTTCTCTGAAAAAATGAGACAACATGACATTTAGACAACAACACAGGAGGAAGGCAGTTATGAATTATTTTTGAAGAACTGAAGGGGTCACCAGGTCACCAGGTCACCAGGTAATTTAACTTCTCTGAAAAAATGAGACAACATGACATTTAGACAACAACACAGGAGGAAGGCAGTTATGAATTATTTTTGAATAACTGAAGGGGTCACCAGGTCACCAGGTCACCAGGTAATTTAACTTCTCTGAAAAAATGAGACAACATGACATTTAGACAACAACACAGGAAATAAATGTTTACGTAAATGTTTTGTCAAGACTTCTTCATCGTAATGAGCGTATATGTTTTGTCAAACATGAACGTAAATGTTTTGTCAAGACTTCTTCATCGTAATGAGCGTAAATGACCCAAAAATAATGTTTAGGGTAGATGGTTTTTAGGTTATTCAATAATGAATTATTTTTGAATAACTGAAGGGGTCACCAGGTCACCAGGTCACCAGGTAATTTAACTTCTCTGAAAAAATGAGACAACATGAC